AACAATTTATTTGACTATACAACAAACAGTTTTCTTTCAAAAAAGTACTTTTTTGATAACATAAAAATTAATATAAAAATAAACAATGGATTTGACTGCTCCTCGAAATAGCAAATAAACAAACAAACAAACGAAAATGGACGGAAGGTCTGATGGCATAAAAAAAGTCTGAATTACAAATGAAATGCGCGGACGATACAATCTATCGGTACAAAACATCGCGATGATTCTTGGCTAAACCTTCATCGTAATTTCGACCGTGGAAAACAATACACGTGAGATCAAAGAAAACGATGGAAAGCAATATACAAAATTTCAAAGATAAATACAATATTTATAATCGATATGTTACAAAAAATTCCCTTAGTGACCGCAAATGTGTGTGTGAAAGTGTTGCAATGTATAAGACAATTTTACTCCTAACTGTAGGAATAAAACTCTGTACTAAATATTTAAGTGAATCTGGAAAATTCAAGACAAGTGTATAAATATTTAGCTACAACTTTGGCAAAATCACAAAAGTCTACAATTGTATAACCACATACAAAACACATTAGGGAGTAAGGAGCTAGAGGTATAAGGACAACTTTCTGGTACAAGAAACAGACTTCACAGTAGCCTAAGAATGCAATAGTATACAGTGCTAGCAAAAAGTTGAAAAACATTGCAGATCACACTCGCTTTACAGGAAGCTTTAGCAGTGGAAATATTTTCTTTCTTTTTTTTTTCTTTTTTTGTCTTTTTTAACCAACAGACAGTAGCGCTTCGTCTCTGTTAGTGTGCTTGTTGAAGGCAAGATAAGATTTTTTTTGCAATATCAAAGTTACAACTTCTACCTACAATAAGTTACAAAGTTCATTTCCGCCGAACGAACTGAACGATAAGATCTCCTTTCCCGGTTCCTCGCATCGTTCCTTCTTCCTTGCCTTTCTTTTTGATTTATAAATCATATATCTTATATTATTTCCAGTTTATTGGCTCTGTATATATTGGCCCCCTTTTTATTAGCACAATCAAAAAAAATAAAATAAAAAAAACAAGCAAAATGATAAACAACAAAAAAACTAAATTAATAATAATAAAAAAGGAAAATGAATTCACATTATGAAGATGTGCAGCGGCAGCACATCAGTGAAAGAGAAACATTCTTACACATTTTTTTTTATCAGTGTTTTCATCAAATGGCATATCCACAATGTTTCTTTCCCACACATAGCAAGAACTAGACATAGCCAAGATTAAACCAGAAATGTTTATACAAAATAGGTACGTTTTGTTATTTTTTTTTTTTTCCCCTTCGAGATCGTGAAAATATGACAAGAGATTCAGTCAATAAAATGAAATTGTTCATGACGAAGTCGCTTGCATGTCAATTTCGAATAAAGCAAAGTGTCTTTTTCCTCTGAATAACAGAATTAGCTGCTGATTAACTTCATGACGAATGACGACTTCGAGGAGGATCCTCCGCATAACGTACTATGCTTCATCCCGGTGAGGAGACGGCTGCTTTACAAGGGAAGGGAGTGCAATTTACATGGGTGGGACCACCAGTCCGGACATAGCTGCAAGAGAAAGAGAAACAATTTTAGCACGGGAGGTC